TATTTGAGTGCGAGTGCAGAAGCTGCTAGCAGTCCGGCTGTGCGCTAATCTTGAAGACGAACACGTTGCTGCTGCAAAACTCCCGGAAGAATAGCTAAAGGGCACGGGCACAAAGTGCGACTACCCGCAATGCGGGCACTACGGCACTTTCCGGGGGAACCCGGATGGGGCTCATGTGCGACCTTGTGGACTTGCGCAGAAATACAGAAAATCTTCTTCTAAATCGCAAATTCTAGTTCTTCTAAAATTCGAATTACCCCCCCTCCCCCCACTTCGGTTCAAATCTGAAAAGATTCTAAGATTTGGAAACTTGAGCACGGTTGGTCAGCACCAGCCCTGGGACCACAATTCGCGACGCAGGGGAGGACCTCCAGCCGGAAACCGGAAGAATATACAACCTGGAATAAATATTTGAATTGCGGACTATTCCCGTAGACAGAAACCATTTCACAAATTTCTAGATCACCATTGGCGTTGTGACAAATAAAATTACTCAAATGGAGCCTGGTAAATCCAAGTATCATAGGATTTTTTGTTTTTATAGGATCGCAGCCCATAATAGCTCGCCAATTCACTATTTTTTGTATAGAAATAACGCCTAATTTGTCGAGAATTGTGGTGTTGGTGCCAGTTGAACAATTATATACAGGTGTCTAGATTTATGAACCTTTCAGATCCGGACCGGAGGCGTAAGACAGCTCAGATTTTGGAGAATTTAGAACTTAGAAGATTTTTTAGATCTAAGCGCGAAAATATAGCGAGACTGTTTCTGAATCCCTTGCGGGTTCCTGCGCAAAGTCCCCCATTAGATTCTACGTGTGATGTTCACCGCAATGACCCTCATTCGGAAATTTAGAAAACACTTTATTCTGCAGGAACAGTCTGTCGTTTAAATCGTTGTTTCAAACTCAATATTTTTCTAGTTTCCTACGGAAAGTCCTCTATCATACTGTCTTGCTCGAAAACGTCGCCCCCGGTATGATACCCGTACCTACCATATAGCCAATGAACAACTATATAGCCAATGGACGGTTGATTTAGGTTAGCCAGCAAAACAATTCTGTCGCTTTTAAAAAAAAAATATCTATGATACCTTTATGCTCGTACTATGCCCTAAAGCGTTGCAATGGCCTCCCTTATTGTTACTAGCACGATCCCAAATAATCTGAAACAATATCCATCCATCATGATCCCTATGCCCACCCGCATACGAAGAAACAAACCAAGCCAGCTACCGTATGCCCAATAGCATAGGCGTGAAGGAAACAACACACATGCCCGATGTACGATGGCGACGTGCATCAACAAAATAAAGAATCCCATATCCTTTTCCTACTGACATACGACGTGAAAGCATCAATCCACTACTGTGTGGCTATTCGCCTCACCCCTCATACCCCCCAGCTACATGCCCTATAGGCGATCCAACATCTGCTTACACGCATACTGCGATATCCCCATTTCTCCGCACTCCCGCGACAACGGAACAAAGACATGTCCGGAGGGCCTCCTCTGTAAATCGCTGAGGCTTACAATAATTCATCACACTGCCAAATGGCCCGCCAAATCTCAGCATGTTCCAGTATCAATCACGGCATCCCACGGTCATTCCACACCTTCCCGCCTTGTGGTTAGAGTCCGAGCGAGAATCCGTGTGATCCAGCAAGGTTTGAAAACGGAGTAGGGTAGAAGAGAGGAGAGGAGAGGGGTGGTTGAAAACAAAAAATGAATAAGTATCTTTTTGTAAATCCGTATTTGCGTGTCTCTTTAGATGAAGGAAATGACACGATGGAGGCTATGCAGCGTTCTTGTGGTTCCTTATAGGGCTAGGGTTTTCAAATACCCGTCGTTGTTCAGGCAGTCCGGCCGCAGTACCAAGGCGAATGCAACACAACGGGTGACGCCATGGAATCCGAGTTGCTCCCTCATGCACAGTACATGTATCGTCTTCGCGCATCCTCCTCCCCAAATATCCGGCTCGCCGAGGAATTCTTTGCAAAGACGCGTGAGTATAGTAAAATGATCAATTCCCACCAGTGTTTGGGTTGGGGCCATGGTGGTGTTTTGGTGCTATCATAATTTGAAGAAAGAATTATTATGAGAAATAGAGGTTACCGGTATGATACCTGGCTGTGGAAATGCTGAGAGCAGTTTGTGTGTGTGCGCTTTCCCTCAAACCCTGGCAACAGATGACCCTTTTGCGAGAAAAAAACATTCAGCATCACTCGACTCCTCCGCGCTCTCTATTGCATTACCCCAGTACCAGAACTGGTGCACATCATTGCTTCGACCACCATACTTGAGTATGATATGATACTCCCCTAGCGAGTGCTAAGTATCTGATTGGCCAAGATTACCCTACCGTAAGTACTCTAACAAGACCCTGGAGCTAGGACGTTGGAGTTGCCTTTGCTGGTAAGGTGCGGCACTTCTTTACTGGTGTTTTCACCCCCCATCCAAGAGAGGAAATTTTGGACGTCCAAGGGCGAGGTCCAATTATCCTAGTTCCTACAGCACGGTATGTCAACCGAATCAATCTTGATGAGTAATTTACCGCGAAGGTTTTACTGTTTTCTTTCCCTTCCTTTGGCCCAGGATGATTAGAGGGTAGAGGAACTTTGCATTAAACTCTAGTGTCAAGTAATCTGACACTCCATCGTGGATATTCAAGACGTTGTTAAGGTCCGCTTGGCAACGACCGTACTGGTACGAAGTGACCATTCCAAAACGGAAGGATGATCATTTCTGTACGAGTACTGTATGATACAAATACTTGTTTCCAGTATTGTACCGATAAACATGATATTCAAATCTTCCACAACCTATTACCGTTCCTGTTCCATCAGACCCCCCCTACGCATAACTATTATACATATACATCATTTCCCCTTTGGGAACTTATCATACAAAATTATCTTCTTTATCCCGTCAATTCACGATTCGCTTTTTTCAAAAAACAGAAAATCTTTTTCCCCCCTCTTCTAAACCCCCATATATTTTATAAAAATACACATAAAAAATACTGTATCGTGGTATCATAATATTATGATAAAAAAGTAATTCTGTATTATCCTTCGGAAAATATCATAGCAGTTATGGAAGATAAGAGAGGTTAGGAACCAAACTTTGGAACTCGAACCTAGGTATGAAAATCATAATTATGATATCTCATGCTCCTGTTATGATAACTCACTTATCCAGCAGCCACCACAAGTAGTCAACCCCCCGAGGCTTTTCCAGGGAAAAGTTTTATTGCCCCGTCACCCTCATCACCCACTTCCCTCACCACCGGTCACCTCACCACAATCATGGTCGGGGCCGGGCAGTACATAAAGCCCGCCCATCACCTGCCTCCATTTCAGCAGTCTTTCCATTAGTTTCCCATAAGAAATGCTATGGATAGTCCGAACGAGATCGCGAACCCTTGGAAATTCAAATCCCGGATTCCGGTACTTAACACTGTGTGATACCTGCCTCCAACCCCGAATTAATCACCGAAAGTCCGAACAGCGGGCAGAAGCAGAGGGAGCCAGCCGCACCTACCTTTCTTGGGTAAAGGTGATTTAGAAGGAATATCGGTGGTGCCGAGAGAGGGGTATGTACGGGAGAGGTATGTACCTATTGGATCTTGCGGTTTTAAAATTCCAGCCAACAGGTAATCCGGCTATTTATTCGACTCGATTGGAAATTATAGCGTAGCCCAAGAGTGGTTACGCATTCCCGGTGGGAAATCATTTCTGGACTATACAATGTTGTTGAAGATCAGATCCTCATATCGCGCACGGTAAGGTGGATAAGAGTAGCTATGACGAGAAGATTGACATCCGGGTAGACCGGAAAGATTTAACCCTTTCGTATATGCGCTTGGGCTAGACGGATCCCCAAAGTATTATTATACCCACCAACACCAAAAAAGAAGAAAAAAAGAAAAAAACGAAAGTCTTGGGAATCTCCAAAATTCCAGGGGGTGACGTAGGTGGTGATTACCATTCAGCAGTAACTCGCCATTCCACTTTCTCGCCGATCTCCATAGGACCTGCAAAACCAGCAGCTTGCATAACCGAAAGCCGTACGGAAGGACCTCCGGTTATTGTCAAAGTGGAAGACACGAGATCACCCAAGACCACACAATAGGGCACTAGCTAAGCGGGCAAAAATGTTGATTCCTTTTCAAGGATACATCCCCCGACGCGCCACCCGGATTCAAGTTAGACAAAAAACCGAATCAAAACTGCCAGGTAAGTGGCCAGCCGCGAAGCATCTAGCTACTCCAGCACCGCGCGCAGGGGGTGGGGGAACCTCAGCCAGGCCAGGTATCCCAGAGACACGTTTACAGCCTGTGCATTCCTCAAAGGTCATTACCAGGAGGAATCCAAGTGAAGTTTTCATTTGAGCACCCGACTCTAGATCGTCCAGTCACGCGATTCCACTCCGATAGACGAGAATCCGCACGAGGGTCTCAAAGCAAGTCCCAATCATAATAAGCACAACAGACAAGGTAGTATCTCTAAACCCAAGCGGACTTCGAGTATCCCAATGCGAAGCGAACCCCCACAAGTCAAAGAATAGAAACCCTGTCCAATTTACGATCTGATAGCTTGCCCGCAACGATAGTCCTCCCGGGGTATACGTGCCATACAACCAACGTGGTTCAAGCTCGATACCGCAACAGCACACACAGCAGCCAATACCCACCGTTCTGGCAGTACAGCATGGATCTATAGCGCCTTACTCTACCCGTCATGTTGAAGCACATAATCCCGGCCCACGAACTCCTATACGATTCCACTGCGCCAATTTCGCCACCAGATGATGTGCCGATGCCACATGACTCTCGTCAAAACGCTATTTGTGCAAAATTTAACTCTGTTTCTTGCAGATCTTGAGTTGGCGGGGTTAGGGTTCGTGCGAGTGATATGCGGTGATAAGCAGGGGTAGGAACGCCTCTTCCGTTCCTAGCTTGAGGTAATTTACTACATCGCGTAATGACTCACGATACGATACTGCCGGCATACGATCAACCCTCCGAGCGCAAGGATATGCATGCTCGGAGTATTTTATAATTCCCAACTGCATCCGATCCAGCCCAATTGCATCCCCTACAAACAGATTCAATTCAGAACAAGAAAATGGAATCAACCACCCAAAGGAAGTACCCCCCGCTCCCCCTTACGGGAAATCCGTACTGGAGCTAACCTCCCCCCAACTCTTCACCAAATCCGCCTGATCCCTGGCAAACTTCTGAATGGTAGAAACAGCATCGCTCCCGAGCGCCAGCACTAGCGGAATCTCCCTCCCCTGCGCGACGCCGGTCTGCGTGAGCACCTCATAGATGACCTCAGCTCCCCTCTTCGGGTCCCCCATTTGCTTCCCATGCGCGTTGCGGAACATACCATCGGTGGTCTCGTTCATTTCGCGGTAGTCCTCTATGCGCTTGTCGTCGCTGGTCTTGATGAAGTTCACGTTCGGGTCGAGGAGTTCTGTACGGAACATGCCCGGTTCGATGGTTGTAATTTTTATGCCGAAGCGCGCGAGTTCGGAGTTGAGGCCGTCGCCAATGAGCCGGAGAGCGGCTTTGCTCGCGTCGTAGAGGTTGCAGGCTGGCACTGGAAACCAGGACGCCATGCTGCCGACGTTGGCGATCACGCCGCTACGTCGAGCGCGCATATGCGGAAGGAGGGCGCGGATGATGGAGGTGGGGCCGAAGACGTTTGCTTGGAATTGGCTTTTGATTTCTTGGTCGCTGTGTTTTATCATGTCAGCATCACGGACAGCATCTTTTAGAATTGGGATACCCACGTTGTCTCCTCGATGGTTCCGGTGTGCACGTATGCCGCGTTGTTCACCAGGATATCGATTCGGCCGTAAACCGCGAGGGCAGCCTCGACTTCTTTTCGGATCGTAGCGTCGTCCTGGTTCTGGTCTATCTTGACGGCCTTGGCTCCGGCCTTTGTAAGTTTGGTCAAGCGGGAAGGGTTGCGAGAGCTAGCTACGACTAGGTCGCCGCGTGAGAGGGCCTCCAAGGCGATGTTCTCACCAATACCAGAGGTGGTACCGGTGACGAGCCAGACACGTTGTTGAGCAGACATTTTGAGCTTCTACGGAGGTCATTAGCTAAAACCGACAAAAGTCTCGAACGAGTGATGTCAGAAACAACTCACGGAAAGTTTCCGGAAAAAAGGCTTTTTCTAATATTTCAAAGTATTTTCTCTGTAAACCCTGATGCTCTCCCGGTCAAGTTGTAACCGTAGCTAGCATTGACGATTCCATATCCTCCGTTCAACCCACCTCCTTATATACGTACCCATTTCCCACCCCCTCCCTCGACAATTCTGTACTCGAGTATGCACTTCACCCCATCACATCAAACCCACAACAGCGTAAACCGTGAAAATAAGCGGCCAGCGACCATCATTTCCCTATCGGTTAGGTAAATTTAAGTCATTAGTCCCCCTGGCATGAGCACTGCAAAGAGAGAGGGAGACGCTGTTCGCAACTTCTCCTATCACCGAAATTTACCCGGACACCCGCCCGGTGACAGACAGGGTTAAACGGCACAATCGCTTGTCGATCAGGGAACTTTTTTATGTTTAGCGACGCATGGCACTTCCGCCTGTGGGGCGATGTTACCAGTCGGGGAGAGGGGGAGACAAGGTTTCGGAAAAACGGCGTAGGAGGATCGGATAACTTTGAGGTTTGGTTGAATGGGTGGGGCGAGTTTCTGGTAGCGATCTGCGGGCAGCGGGCCGGGATTGTTGATTGCAACGGTGGAAAGGTTGCTGCCAACCCCAATAGTCCGCTTGGAGAGCCCGAAAACAAAGATTGCAAGGTTGTTGAACGATCTCTTCACACCGGAAGTCGGCCTGGACCGCTCTTTACGCTCTAAGGCAGTTGGAGAAATCGGTGTAGAAATATCGAATGGTGGGATGGTGGGGGAGTTCTTGAGCGGGGTACTGTACTTCGTCTTCTAAAAAACGGCCAATTCCAAACTATCGTGGCTTCTCAACAAAGCTTTCGCTTCAGTTTTCTCTCTACTGTTCGCCAGACAACGCTCGAGTAGACTCAGCTATCGTAGAGATTCAGATTGTGGGAAATCAGTTTAATAACAGACTTTTGGGCGGGCTATGGGGCTTTGAATTTGGTGCACTGTTACTAAATTTCCTATCCTGTAAAGCAATTACCGTAGACTGCACTCGCATCTGGAAAGTTCTCGTAACACCCCGGGTATCATAGCCCACCAACTCCTGCCCAAGAATATGATATCAGGACATGAGCGACTCTTTTTCGGGAAACATTTCCCAATCTGGTAATGGCAGATTCCATACTCGTACTGTAGAAGACATATACATTAGGGGTTACAAGTACAAGTACTGTACAGTACTAGCGCAGTATCATAGCTTTTCAAATTCGCAAGAGGAAGATTGATCCTGCCGAGAAAGCAGAACTAACCGCAGTTAACCGCCAATAACATGTACACTAAGCATAGCGGCCGCGGCTGTTAGTACGAGTAGTCTTGGCAAGAGTTCACCGTAGATGTCGGAATCCGACGCAGACCAGACATCTTCTCTCACGAGATTAGTATTGTGTGGCAGCGCGCTCAACGAATGACCGTCGGCAATAAAGCTATGGTGCAACAGCGCACAGCGAGGGCTGGCTTCTTCCAGTAACGATTTCGTGCAATCTCTCCTTCTGAAGCATACCTAAGATACCTCTTCAAGTTTGCTGAAATTGTAATAAACCCCAACCAGACCAATTCGAGTATGATATGATACTACAGCCAGTACCATGATGCCAAGAAATATTAACCACTCTCACCTACTCGAGTACCATACCCGCCAATGCACAGCGTATCATACGATACTCGAGTAGCGGGACCGTCAAACAATCGGATCTACAATGAGTCTAGATCCAACGACACTACAACGACCATGCTACCTACCGGCATTCAATTATCCAACCTATCCGAGCACTATTTCACCTAATACTCCACAGAAAATCCAACCCAGTGTGATACGATACAACACTCCACCCCCCATCCCCCCGGTGCCCACCCCCCAAGTCCCATACGCTTCCTATGGCCAATGCCTGCGGTCGGATTAGCTCCGATCGCCGTCGGACTTTGCCACTCGTGCCCGGCCCCGGCCGGGTGCGGGTGCGGGCCCCTTTCTTTCTTGGGAAACCGGCTCACTCACAGAATATTACGGGGATTTTGTATCGGAATTCGGGCCAAGCATTTTCCCACCGAATTACCATTTTGCGATGTGATATCCCATGATCCATTATCCCACACTCGCCAAAAAAGAAAGAGAAAAGGCTTCTTCTCTTCTCGACCTTTACCTACCACCCGGGAGGGGTTATTTTGAACCACCCTTCGCTCGTGGCGACGGGTGAAACACAGTTCTGAACCCCACGCTAGCTCTGGTAGGAGTATCGTATGATATACGGAATCGCGGATTTGAGGTTGATATCGGAGCATCCTGCGCTGCAACAGCCCTTCCCCCTACCCCCCTGTGCGGAGCGATAGGGCCGGTGGCAGGCTTACCCCACGTCGGCTTCTACGATATCCCGGCTTGGCAATGTGCATGCCTCGGTACTGGCCGCCCGGGCTAGCCGTAGGGGGGTCCCGATGAGTCCGCGGTGGTGCTCCCCCCGCGCAAAATAAGCGAGGGGATTGGAGCCTGCCGCGATTTTCAGGTATGATATCATATCCAGGAAATGTGTGATGGGCTACCTACTATAGTACAGTCTTGCCATTACCATTTCCCTTCCCCCTTCTCCCTCTTTGCGTTGGAATCCCTATTTTAAACTCGAGAACCCTATCCAGCGAGTCTCCAATCGAACAGAGCACATGAACCCCGGAAACCCGGAGCTGGTATATAGCATAACACTATTCTTACCATTCCCTTGTAGAGAGAACTGGACCAGTTGATGTAGATCCGTCGCCCGTAACACACCCAAAGCGTTAGAGAGAATCCTTGGGGGCAGACAACAAGGGAAGGTGGTTTGTGCGTGAGCTATGGAGTCAAATGCCAAAACACTAACTTGCAATAACTCTAAGTCCAATCCATATCCAATGTGAAGCCCCTCTATTACTTTTAACTACCTCCAAGAAAATTCCAAAATATAATTTTCTGATATCACAAACGATACCAAATTCTTTCATTTATTAAACTTAAGAACCGTGCAAGACAGAAAAGAGAGAGATAATTCAAAACTCGGAATTCCCGAAAGTCCTTTTTTTGGCATGTAACCCTGTACTATACCCACCGTGGGCATTTTGAAGTTTTTCCCAACTTGTTTTACCAATACCCTTTTTCTTACCCCACCACTTGAGCACTCCTATGATACCAGCCTTCTGTTACCCCCGTTCGTGAAAACAAAGTTTTAACTTCAGGGCTTTCTGAATCTTGCGGGAGAGCTCGCTCCATTGCGCTATCGAGTCGATAGTTAATATGATAGCCAAATCCGTGCACGGGGAGCTATGGTTGAGGACTCTCTTGCTATCGCCCCTAAGGAGAGAGACAGCAGAGATAGGCCCTTGTATCATAAGACTACGTGGTTCCTAGGTATGATAGTACAGTACACGCTCAGTCAGGTCCGCCCCAGCGGGCTAAATATATCCAAAGAGGGAATTGCTTGCCAATGTTCTCAACGCGGGGAGGGGGGGTGTTAGGCTCCTGTCGGGTACCCAAGAAACGAGTGATGATATATGATGAATCAGATAGTGTCTTCACCATTGAACGGTAACGGCGAGGAAGCCATATGTAAGGTGAGAGCACGTCTCACTGGAGAGTATAGGCCAGGTATCACAAGCGTTAGCGAATGTTAGCTCCGAGTATCTAGTACTGGGGTTTTAAAAACTTATCATAGAGGTCACCGGAGGAGGGCGTGGGGGGAGGGGGGGTAAGGTGGGGCGGAGATTTATGATTGCCTCTTTAGACGGATGCGGGTTGGAAGTTTTCACTTGAGGTGTTATCCGGGGGTGCTGATGCATTGTAAAGGTGTCATGCGAGAAACAATCCCGAAGCCGGGCGTGCAGTGTATATGATAAAGTGTGGGGAATTTTGGACGCTGATATATCATACGTGAATGCCGAGTGTCTAGCACCGGTGCGGTGCGTGTCCAGGTCGGTAATAACGTGCCTAGTGCTCCGACAGTGGGGTATCGGTAACATATCAACGCATCACAAATCAATTCAGGCGCAAAATAACTTTCGAATCTGTAGTCTAATGAACTCAAAATGCTATATACAGCTCACCACCCCTGCAGAATTTACACGAAATAAGAACGGAAATCGTAACCCCATTTTAAACCATTACCCAGACCGAAGAACCGAAACACTGAAAACAAGAAAAACGTGAAAACATGAAAACAAGAAACGGGGAGGTATCACCAGAGGAAGAAAAACTAAGCAGTGGTTCCGGCTGAAGCTACAGGATCTTCGTATTTGTCCCAATTTGCCAAAACCTGACCAATACGCGGACTATTAGTCAACTTGTACACGTCCTCAAAGTACTCCTTGGTGAGCTGGAAAGGCTTCGCCGTCACGTTAGGGATATATTTTCCGATAAGCTTGCTGGGATCAATCGAAGATTTCACAATCTTCTTCATCAGGAAGGATCTGAAGGGCTTGACTCCGCTACGTAAGAATGTCGAGTGGAACGGGACGTCAATGCCCCTGAGAGGGATCGTGGCGAGTCCGCGTTGAAGTTCAACTGGCTTCGGCTTAGCTTCCGTCTGTTTCGCACACTCCTGGATAATCTCGACGAGTCTCTCCTTGACGTCCTCAAGGGACATTTTCGCCGTTAGGGCCTGAATGTCAATTTTCTGCACCTTGAGGAAGTTGAGAACATTGGTGAGGCAGTCGAGGGCGCGTAGCTAACTAAATGTCAATAAATGTAAAAGTAGGCGAGTGGTAATAAACTTACATCACCCGCGCAGACATATTGCTGGTTAATAACGTTATAATTGACAACTTCCAACAACCACTTGGTTTCCTCTGCGATGTTGTCAACAACATACTGAAGAGCTTGCTCGTTAAAGGTCTTAGAAATACGACCAGGATTGACAGCAACCATAGAGTAGTTGCTTCTTCCCTCGGTATCGCGTTCGACGGCAACTTGCATGGTCAAACCGCGGTAGAAGACGACAGAGACCAAAGACTCAATTGGCATGACCTCAGCCAGAGCAGCAAGAGCAGAGTATTCACCCAACGAATGTCCGGCG